GGGGGGCTGAGGATCCTGTCGGGGGCAGCCGCCGAGGGGGTGCTGGTGCGGGGGGCCAAGAACCAGCTGCGCATGTACCTTACCATGGCCATCGCTGCTGTGCAGCCGCTCTTCATGTACTGGCTCACCTACCACCTCATCAGGTGATGGGGTGTCCCCCGGCCCCACCGCCTGCCCAGGGAGTGCTCCGACCCTGCTGCTTAAATAGATGCTGCCTGGGGACCTCAGCGTGTGTCGGCTGTGCAGTATCTCTGCATGGGGGGGCTGCAGGAGGGCCAGGTGCCACCTCTGGCACTGCAGTGGGGCCCTCTGGTAACGAGATACTGCAGGGTTAGTTCACCGGGGGGTGGGAGGGAGGAACCAGCGCCCTCCTAGCACAGGGGCTGCTGCCGTTTGGGGTGGGAGCCTCTGACCCTGGAAGCAAATGAACGACTCGTCTCTGGAAGTTGGACCAGCCCGAGCCATGGGAGCGGGGCTGGGCTGAGGGGAGGGACAGGGCTACCAAGCCAGGCACAGTGCCTGTTTTGGCAGTGCATCTTGCTCCCTGAAGAGCCCCAGAGAGCGGGGGAGCCCCTCCGGTGGGGACAGGTAGCTGTTGGCTGCACCACAGGCATCATGGCACAGGGCCACGCGCTCAGAAACACAAGGTTCAGGTCACTTCTTTCTGACACCGCATAAAACCCCTCGTGGAGCTGTCGTTTGTGCCCTGAACCCTGCAGGCTGCAGGGAGGTGCTGAGCCCCGGCTGGTGCGGCATGATCCCCGTGTGCCGCGTGGTTTGTCGCTGTGCGTTACTGTGGCTGAGGGGCCACGAGGGGGGTAGCCGGGTTCTCAGCGCGTGCCCCCCCTGCCTGTAGCAACAACTAGTTAATAAAGGGGAGACGGTGCTGGGTGCGTGGCTCTGCTCAGTCCATGGGGGGAGGGTTGCACCAGCCCCCCTGCAGGGGCTGAGACCAGGGCGGGGTTGCGTCCTGCGCCTGCTGCGGCTGCTGCTGCCAGCACCAGCTCGCCCTCCTCGTGCGCACAGCTCGCCGGGGTCCTACCCTGCTGCCAGGCTCTCTGCTACCCCACAGTGCATCTCCCCCCACGCCCTGGCCCTGCCCTGTGAGTCAGGCTCTGCCTGGGGCGTTCACCCAGGCCTGTGGACTCCGGTCAGGGTCTCAATCCTCCCACGGCACATGCAACATGCAAAGTCAGGGTTCAAGCTCTTTATTACCAGGTAGGAGTGGGGTGATGCTGCCCCAGGGGGGTGCTGGGCCCTGCCTCGGGGCAGCCCCTGCCCTGCTACTGCCCCATTGCACCTGGGGGTGCTGCTGGGTCCTGGCCCTGCTCAGTGGCTTTTCTTTTCCTTTTTCTTGTCCTTGGGTTTCTTGTGCAGTTTCTCCTTCTTCTTGTGCTCGTGGCCCGGGCCGTGGTGCTGCAAGGAGATCAGAGGGGAGGGAGGGTAGACAGGGGGACGGGGCCGTGCCCTAAAGGTTGGGGACTCTGCACTTACCTTCTCCCCATCGCTGGAGCTGGAACTGGAGCTGGAGTCGGAGGAGTGTCCGTCCTGGGGGGAAACAGTCAGTGGGGTCCAGGGGGCCCTGGGGTGGCCATGTCACCCTGGGGCCAAAGCTAGGGGCTGCAAGCAGGGTCCACAGGCCCAGAGGGGGGGGTCCCTGTGCCATGGGGTAGGCAGCACCATCGAGCCCCCCCGCCTAGGCCATAGGATCTTGGGGACATCAGATCCCTGGGGCC